GTAGTTATTTTGCAAATGAATGTTAGTACCAAAATAAATTTAGTAAACAGAATAGGCGGTGCTTCTGGTGAACACAAATAATTGATGTAAATTGAAGATAACTCTAAATTGTTATTCTGCGACCAGACGTGTGGAGCATTTAGTTGCCACTCGAATCCTCTGCTGTCAACTCTGAGGTATCCGGTTGCGTGGACACACTTCAGCTTCACAAAAGCCCTGGAGCCAAGTGTTGAGCTAGAGATGAAGGAAAGGCCAATTTAACGCTTCAGTTGACATTGTTATAAAAAGTAATTTTAATTCTACTTAAAGACTGCAATTAGTTTGTGATATCGGAAAGTTTACAGTGATCCTGATCTCCTTGAGCTATATTCTTAGTAACTAGGTGGAATTCTTAACGGTTGGCTGCCTAGATTTGTTTGTGAAGATTTGAGGCTCACCATTTTCTTTCGAGAGTTCGTCTAACCAACCAACTTCAACATTAGACATTTTCGCTGGATTTTGTCTCGATGTGGTTGGACCTTGTTTCACTACTCAATTGATAAATCTACTCCGAATCTTTTGCCTGCATGTGCCGACCACTCGGCTCCAGGGCTCCAATATTCGCCCACTTAGAAGATGTCTTTTAGTTGGTGTTAATTTATGGTCGCGGCACACCATCTGTATTCTGCCTTGGTGATAAAAAGGAGCGTCATGTTACGTCCATTCATCCTGAGTCATTTCTTGAGACTGCCAAATAATTACCTCTTATTCATGCTCAAATTTTAGCCCATCTTACCGACAGAAGTACCATATTAAGCTGTCGCTGAACCTTGAAATGCATCATGAATCCTTACGTCTTTCAGTGTTACTATTTAAAGTTTTTTACTATTTTTATTCTTACTATGATTTATCGTTTGAGTTGAAAATATTTCAAAGATTTCTCGCTTACCTCATTGCAGACAGACTCGCACATGCCATGCCAACTCGAGGCCGAAATGTAATTCTTCTATTTAGGGAATTGTTTAAACGAACAATTCACTCAGAATAGACTTGTCTACCTAATATATTATATGTTTTCTAGACATAATTTGTTATTAGTTACACACGACACAAGTGCGTTTTACTACACCTGCAGACGCTCAGTCGTAGACGTAGACATGCATTCGTTTTGAGATTCACTTTGGACAACAGTCCTTTGCACTTTGAATGATCTCCATTTTTGACCACAGTTTCATTCATGTCGTCCACTCATCTTCCGGACAGGACCATGAAGTGGATGAAAGGAAAAGGACTCACAATCGGCTCGTTCCATTCTTCTGCTCCTCGAGACCTTCGGCCATTGCCAGTCACGTCGACGAGGATTGGGTGAAGACGAATTCAACGCAGAGGTTGCATCAGCTGACGCCTCCACGTGGAGTTTGTATCTTGCTTTCAACCTCGGGCCAGCTGCATCGTTCCTCCGGGTGCATCCTGACGCGAATCAAGCATGTTCACAGGCATTACGATTTTTTGCCGATTGGAGATATGATTGCAGTTTTGCGCCTCCGTTCGTCATGTGGCAGAAAGCGTCAGAGCCGAAAATTCATCAAAACACGAAGACCAAAACCGGCCTACATCTTTTATAGTCCAATTTGGTCCATTCGGTATCTCGTGCCGTTGGTTGGATATCCTGTGCTTTGCAGACATTTTTGCTGAAAATCTAGTAAAGTGTCTTCGGACGGCATTCGTTTCACGCTCCACCTGCTGCCATTCAACTCGCCTCTTCAGACAAACTGAAGCCTACTCTCCGGCATCAATCCATTAGGAGATTCTTGAAAACTCCGTTTTTCTACATTGCGATTTCTGTTCCACTTTCCCTCTGCCATGCGCATTAGCTGGGCTCTGCTTTCACTGTCCACTCGGTCAAATTCGGGTAGAGCGCTGAAGCCTGCTCGGCTTTATCTCAAGCGTGCAAAATGGCAATTTTTTGTGCATCTCGCGCACATGCAGGAACTTTTACATGGTCCAGACTTTATGACGGCTCACATTTCAGTCGGTTCAGACACAACCTTTTCGAAGGCAGAATGACCGAAGATGAGCTGTCATAATTAACCAATTCTTGGGAACTTTTACGAGCCGGTAAAGCCAGGACTGCATTGCTGCTTTGTACTTTTACGACCTTGACTTTCACCTTTTTTGCCTTTAAACGGAATTCGCTCGGAGGGAAAATATGCGTCAAGTGCGTCGTGCCAACTAATTGCCGAATTCAGCATCAATCTGGACGGCCAATTTCGGCCTATACCTCGCATACCTGACACCGGGACTTTTTGCTCTGTCCCAGCACCCAAAGCGCTGTATACAATGGCATTAGGGGGCCAACAGCAGACGGCTGTAGCCAGGCCTCTCGTCATTGAGGTACACTTTGTCCCGTTTTATCCTATTCCTCATTTCATGTTTGCCAACTTCTGGGGATTGCATTTTTGGTGCTCTTGCTTGGACATTGTTGCAAGGACTCAGCTTCGACGAGGCTGAAAATGCAGTTTGGTGCGTATCCACGACACATCGACACTCACTTGACCGCTTGACTACGAGGCTTGTGTGTTTGCGTCTGTAGGTTCGAGTAGAAAGCATCTGACATGCAAAGGGTTCGGTAAGTTGAGGCATGTGAGGATTGGAAGAACTCCTCTCGCCTCGAGGTAGACGTTGGGTCTGCACTTGTCCGTCCATCCGAGCCGGACGACAGATTGTTTCTTCTCCACTTGTCCGAATGACATCGAGAAACCTCTTTCCACTCTTCCTACTCGTAATCACGCCACTTCCGGCGGGATCAAATGTTGCGGTTCGACTCTCCATTTCGAAGGAATGTTGGTCGAAATGAAGTTGGTGATGCGGTCTCAGCCGAAATCGTCCCGCGAACCTTCGATGAGACTGTGCTAAGCTTTCGCCGGTACCGTCGTGGCGGACATCATCAAAGCTGGTGTGCATAATTTGGGAAATAGAGCAAAAATAGACTAAACCAAGCATGTTTCGGTTGGTCACTTCAACCTTCCTCGACATGTTTGCGAATGAGGGCAGTAACTTCACGAACCGCACGAGAGTGAATAGGGCAACTCGCCTGAGTGGGTTTCCCATGCGCCTCCACACCCAACTGATTACCTTATTTGCTCACTAATACATGCAAAAAAGGCCATTTATTCTCCTTCTCCACCTTCATCACCAACTTGCTATTGACAGCTCTTCTATGCATCAGCTCAAGCAATTGCCCCAAACCACCTTTGCCGTCTTGCCAAACAGCAAACTGATCGTCCAGACAACGAACTCATCATTTGGGAAGTCAGCTTCTCTCATTCGCAAGCATGTCGACAAGGTTGAAGTGGCCAACCCAATCATGTGATGCCTTATTGAGATTGCGAAATTTGGTCTGTAAAAATGCGATTATGGCTTGATCTAGTTTATTTTTGATCTATTTCCCGAAGCATGCACACCAGCTTTGATGATGTCCGCCACGGCGGTACCGACGAAAGCTTAGCACAGTCGCATCGAAGGGTCGCGGGACGGTTTCGGCTGAGACCGCATCACCAACTCATTTCGACCGACTTTCCCTCGAAACGGAGGGTCATGCAACAATATTGCATTGAGAAATTCATCGAAACCCAGTTTTTGTTCAAAGGATCAAATATTGCCAGAGACAGTTTGTAAATAGTTTCCTTGTTGAGCTGACTTCCAATCTTGAATTGAAAAGAGACCGAATCTCGCAGAGAGTGTAGGTTATCCGACGCAAGTGCGTGATTTGAGAAGAGTAAGTCTGGATGCCAACCGCTGGCTGGTGAAATCGCAAAGCAAACCAAAAAGCACAGATATGAAGACCAAGATGGTGTCGTTCCCGGTTTCCATAAAGAAACACACTTGGTGAAGATTTATAATTCAAAAAAGGAAATGATTGTGAAGAAAAGTTGGGTTTCGAGGAATCTTTTGTTTCATAATTGCTGAGTGAAAGTGTGCGGTGAAGAGATTCGAAGGTCGGTTCCACCAGAAGACGACGGCCGAGTACTCTTGACCAGCTTTACTGGCTTTACTTGCACATTCATGCACGAACACACATTCTTATTAAAAAGTGAGGATTCTTCCAGAAAGAGCATCAGCGATCGGTTCTATCCAATTAACTTTGTCTCGGATCTGTACGGATCCAGAGTGACCAAAAGTTGAGGGATGTTTTTTTTAGATTTCATAATTTATAAGCAAATAAAAGTTGGGTTTCGAAGAGTCTCTTGTTTCATAATTGTTGAACTGACTTCCATTTCGAGCGAAAGTGTTGCGTGAAGAGATTCGGAGGTCAATTCGACCAGAAGACGACGCCGGATTTCTCTTGACCAGCTGTCGGTTGGCTTTGCTTAAACATTCACAATGACGCTGTCTCCAAAGTGTAATCTCGTTCGATTCCGGTGAAAAGGTGCTAAGATTTCGTCCGTTATATGGCGAACATCAACACAGCAAGGTATCATCGTCACGACAAAAGTCGACCTAACGAGTCAAGAAAACTCACCGGCTTAGCACCTTTTCACTGGAATTGAAGGAGACTTCCTCGGAAACAACGTCAACAAGAAGGCTCCAGTAAAGCGAATCGACAGCTGGTCAAGAGGACTCGGCCATCGTATTCTGGCGGAACCGACCTTAAAATCTCTTCACGCAACACTAACTCGAAATGGAAGTAAGCTCAACAATTCTGCAACAGTAAATTCCTCGAAACCCAACTTTTCTTCGATTCTAAATTATGAAATCTAAAAAAAACATTCCTTAACTTTTGGTCACTCTGGATCCCTACAGATCGGAGACTAAGTTGATCTGATCGAACCGATCGCTGATGCTCTTTCTAGAAGACTTCCCATTTTTGAATAAGAATTCGAGTTCGTGCATAAATGTGCCAGTAAAGCCAATCGACAGCTGGTCGTCGTCTTCTGGTGGAACCGACCTTTGAATCTCTTCATCGCACACTTTCACTCAGCAATTATGAAATAAAATATTTCTCGAAACCCAACATTTCTTCACAATGATTTCCTTATCTTTAATTATAAATCTTCACCAATTGTGTTTTTTTATAGAAACCGAGGGCGACACCATCTTGGTCTTCATATCTGTGTTTTTTGGTTTCCTTTGTGAGTTTACCAGCCAGACTTACTCTTTTTAGATCACACACTTAAGTCGGATAACCTACACTCCCTGCGAGATTTAGTCTCTTTTCGATTCGAGAATGGCACTCATTTCGATTGGGCATTCTGCGCAGTATTTTGCACTCATCGTCCTCTCGTTTCTCGACGATAAGCTTCAGTCCACTTCATGACAATTGGGAGCATAAAAAATTGTTTAAACTCTGGATCAAGGTACAGTCTGAACTCCGTGATCTACCATCATGTCGGATCAAATGTGATGTACTACTTCATCCTTTATCCGATAAAGTAATATTCAACAATGTACATTATAGTAATGGCATCATCATTGGGGGCGGGTTGCAGGCAAGTGCCAGAGCATCTGCAAGAAAGCATGATCATGTCACATGACGTCGTGTTTAGCGACTCCTTTACATTGCTTCATTTCCAACCAAGTCATGATGAGGCTGCTCCAGTCCAGTCGAGTCTCGAAACCAGGTTGTGCAGTGCTGGCCAGAATGGAAGAGATACAGCCGAGCATTTCTAGCCCTTTTAGACGAGATCAGGGGGGCATTTAACTTTGAGGAAGATACATTTGCCATACTCACCTGTGTGGTGTAGACCCTATCGCAGGAGTAGTAGTCAGGGCTGTACCGGAAGAGGTTGTGCGGTCGGATCAGGAAAATCAGGCTTCCTCCGCTGGTTGATGTGTTCGGCAAGTCTTCCTCTCTTGGAAGATGGTAGTTGCCCATCGTCAACCAGAAGACGAGATCCTGTTGTTAGTAGAACAGATCAAATGA